TTTATATTGTTATATTAATGTGAATTTAAATTTAGTTTTTAAAATGACATTTTTAAATGCAGTGAGGCATTCAGTGATCTGCTTTCTCTAACATGTTTGTATAACAGAAAAACCAGGAGTGTGTCCAAAAACCAATCCTGAAGATGACATGTTAGGAGTGTGCTGAGTTGTGTTCCCAAGATGGTCACTGTCCGAATGATGAGAAATGCTGCAGCAATGGATGTGGACATCAGTGTATGGCTGTATCTAAAGGTACATTATATTAATGCATTGGTCAGATTTTTTTCCTGTATTACAGTGAGTCATTCAGCATTCAGTGATCTGGTTTCCCTGTTGTGTGTTTGTATAACAGTAAAGCCAGGAGTGTGTCCAAAGAGATTCCTTGGAGTAGGATTGTGTAAAGGGTTGTGTGTCAATGACATTGACTGTCCGAAAGATGAAAAATGCTGCAGTACTAAATGTGGACGCAAATGTACACATCCATATAAAGGTATTCGTTATATTGGTGCTTGGGTCCCCAACACGCACCGTTTTTGAGTTTTATCATTTCCAATGGCAAAGTAACTGAATTTGGCCCATAACACCATTTCAAGCACAGTTTTTCAAAATGATTAATACCATTTGAAATGACTTCCTCTAAAAGTCAAACTTGTTCACGTTTTGTGATGCGTTCATGAGTTTGAATGCATCTAAATGAACAGACTAATTCTGATTATCTGTATCCATGCAGTGAGGCCTGGTCTATGTCTCAAACCAAATGTGTGCTGATAACTCTTCCCATGATGATCTGTACCCTGCCAGACAGAAGTGTTGCCTAACCACCTGTGCATGCAGCGCACCATGCCAGTTTAGCCATCTGGAAAAAGTCCTCGATTGTTCGCTACGTTTTTCTTTTTTTTGTCCATGCTATACTTGATCTTTTCAATTCATTAAATCTCATAGCTTAGTGAAACGTGTGTGTGTGTGTGTGTGTGTGTGTGTGTGTGTAAATAATAAATGTTGTTGGGGTGAAGTACAAATCTACCAGAAATAAACCAAGAATGCGGGGTAACCCTAACGGGAGAGGAATGTAGTATGTGTAAACACTGGTTTAATGGTTTTGAAAATTCAGTATATAGCGAGTCAATATGCCTCTAAACACTCCAGATTTGGTGAGATTTTTATTTTTATATCTAGTCCTGATGACTAATATGTTTGTATATTAATGTATGTATACTAATATATATAATGTACTTTTAAATTTGATTTAAAAGGCTAAAATGTTAAGTTGATAATTTTATAAAACTGATTTTGTGAAAACATACCCTGCTCACAGGTAATTTGTGTAGGTCTTCAAAAAGGTTTTATTTTTTCCTTTTCAAGCAAGTAGTAGGCAGCTGACTAAAAAGGTAATCGATAAACCCTGCACCCTGTGACTAAAAGCAGACTGAAGCACCAGAAAAGACAAACACAGAATTTCTTTTCCCCCACTGGACCTTACACCGCTCTGGTTATTATATGAAGTCAGATGTTCTAATTTTATAAAAATAAAGTTAAATGTGTCAATTTACTCTCCTTCATGTCATTCCAAATATGTATGACTTTCTTCTGTGGAAACACTAGAGAAGATATTTAGAAAAATGTTCCTGCATCTCTGATTAATTGCTAGGTTTTTTTTTGTTTTTTTTTGATGGTCCGCAGACTAAAGAACATATAAATAAAAAACGGTTCAAAACAGGTTGAGATTACATGAGAGTAAATAAATGACAATTTTTATTTTTGGGTGAACTTTCATCGGTTCAAAATGGGTTGCGATTACATGAGTAAATAAATTACTATTTTTATTTTTGGGTGAACTTTCGTGTTAAGGCATTTAGCACAT